TTGGTAGCTAAGACATACTGTATCTTTTCTTCTGTGTCCAGATGAGAATGAGAGACACTCAATATTTTCTTTATATCTGAATGAGAATTAACAGCTACACCACTGAGCTTTTATAATAGAAATAAAAACTAAATACATATTTGATCTGCACACTTTTTTTTATTACATTTGAACTATTCTTATGCTTAGACAAAAAGTCTAACTTGGAAGTTTCTTATAATTTGATCTCTCAAATAATTTGAGAGTTAGAAAGCAAATAAAATAGTATTTTCTTGTAAAATGTGCTCCAACAATTTTTATTAACAACGTTTACAGTGTATAAATAAACTTTCAAGCATCTATACAATTCTAGAATTTCCAGTGTTGTTGGCTCTTGTTTTAAAAATGGCTTGTGATACCAGAACCGTTTTTGCATTCTTCCGTGGATGCGGATGTAACGTGTCTGATGATGTTACAGGGTGTTCCAAATGAATGCAGTTTGTCAAGTGAAGTAAACTTCACCAGACATCCTGTGCTCAGTGAATAGGGATCAGACAGTGAACACTGCATCGGGATCCTATGAGTTGGAACACAGTTAGAATTTCAGGCACTATATTTCATGGGGCTGCAACACCATTATATACAGAATGAGATGACAACACGACCACTGTAGTCCAGTTACAGAATGAATGACTCTTATAATCCGTTTTTTAGTGAATCAAAAACATACAATTCTCAAGCAGGGTCATTTGATTCTGAATAAATGACTCTTATGAGCTCATTTATTTTTGTTAATCAAACACATACAGCTTTCAACTGACTTCAATTAGAGTATCTGTCTGGGGTGCGTTTCCCAAAAGCATCGGTAGCTAACTATGGTGGTTCGTTCCATTGAACTCTAAAGGTAACGACGGAAGTTGCAACCATAGTTGCTTTTGGGAAACGCACCCCTGGTTGACAACGACGATTTGTTTAGGATGCACATTATGCACATTATACATTTTGTCAATAGTATTTAAACTGATGCAATATGTACTACTTTTTTTTGTCAGTTTAGCGTTGTTTTTTTAATTTAAAGTTCAGGCCAACTAATGCAGTTCATTTATGCTGCCTCTAAAATGACATGTCAAAAAGTATTTTCAAGTATTTTTTTTTAAACATGTATGTGGTGCAGTGACATCTTAGAGGTTTTAGTTCAGAGAACCAAATTGCATTTGTACACTGTATTTCAAATAGAACTTTTCTTTTTTTTATGTAACTACTGCCCAAATATAATAACTGACACTGGGCACTTTCTTTCAGTAAAGAACAGCCTGTAGTATTTGAAGCCTATCCCATTATCTGCACTGGTTCCAGACAGTGCTTTAGAAAACCAACCATGACTTCATTCGATCTCTGTATACTCTCTCATTCCCCTCTTCTCTCTTCTGGTTGTTTGTGTGATATGATGAGTTATTGAGATACTGAAGTGCAGGGAAGTAAAACTTGCCGTGTGATAATGATCAGACTCCCTACCTGATACAGCAGATGACAGGCAATGCGGGTGTAAAGTGAGGGGATGATGAAACCAAGTACTTCCTCTGCAGTCATACACTTCAATAAACAGATCAATAGTGTTGTATGAGCATCATCAAAAATGACACACAGCCAAAAAAGCATTGTTGATTTTTTTTTGTTTACACGATGAGATGGTGATGCATCCAACATATGGTCGATGACCTTTGAAAGCATGCCCACTAAAATATTAGTGTGTCTGACTCCAGCTCATGTTCCACTTAAAATCTGGCACAACAAGGGAGGCCATCAAAGTTCAGTGTGGTGACAGTTATATATGAGTGAATCATAACCACTTTAGGGTGTAATTTTCTCCACTTCGGCCTTTCTGAGATTCCATTCTGCCGTCTTAATTGCCAAGCGGCACCACTTACATTAAGTGCACTGTGCCCTTGTCACAGTAATGCTGAGGCCTAGTTGGACTGTGCGCATACAGGAACAGTTTGATTGCCATTGTTATTTCTTACTCTCTTTACCAACCCTGCATTCTGGCCACTACTTTGCTTGAAGTATAATCAGACCTTCTGAGAAGTGCTTGGTAGACAGTATCATGCTGGGTGTTTTTGGACCTGTAAGCTTTCTCTCTCCCTTTCTTTCGCTCAGGTGCGTCTTTGGTTTGTCAAGGTTATCGGCACTTTCTGTTTACCCCCCTGCAGAACCGCATTTCTCTGCCTCGATGCGACCGGCCCCAGCTTGCCAAAGACCATTACAGAGCCTAAGCTTCAATTTCTCTCAGTAAACACCTGAGACCGCAATGTGTTTATATTCCCAGCAGTGTGTCTAGTAGTCCTGGTTGTTGAGCTAAATGCTCCTCACGTTTAAACAGTCAACAGGGCTGTCAAATTTCTTCACTTTTTTTTTTACATGCAACTTTATGCAACGACAAGGACTTTCCATCAGCTGGTTGTGGTAAATCAATTTGCTGTGTGGTAAATGCAAACCTGATTGTTTTCGAGTCAGACATACTGTCAAGATCACCATTAATCTTGAGGCTCCCAGTGACTAAATGTGTGAGTAGCAAGCCGACAGTTTTGCAGGAATAGGTGCATTTTCTCCTCGCTATGTCAAAAGTAAGAAAGAAGGAAAGCCCTACGATGGAAAATAAAGTTAAAATACGAGGAATGAAAGACCTTGGCGAGGCAAGGGCACTTAAAACCTGGAATTCAATTTTTGGGACATATCTCCTTTTTTCTTGACTTATTCTAATCCAATTTCTTTTATTCCAGCACATCGCTCTCATTCCCTACCTTCTTTTGTCATACACACATTAGCGTGGTGGCGTATGGAAGGCAGGGATTATGGAAAGTAATGATTTTTCAGGGCCTGATTTTCTCCCGCTGGAGTCCGAGAAGGAATTAACTGGTATGGGGTTTTGTGGCGGTGGGGAGAAATACCTGCCTACAATGACACGCGCCGGGAGAGGTGACCGCACAGGGATTTTAGGACGTGATTGAATTGCGGCATGTGAAAAACCTAATGGTGCACATTTTCTGTGTGAATGATCCCATAAATCCTGGGAAAGGATCCCAGGTAGAAAAACACAGCTGGCACGGATGAGTGCAGGATTGGATATTAATGCTGTAGTAATAAAGTGTGTCTTTCCCAAAAACCAGTTTTTCCAAAACCACTGTCCTCTCAAAGTGTGCAATCTGCTCATGATAAAGTAATGCCAATAAATCAGAGGGGAAAACTGATAAACATGCTGTTAATGTGTTGATGCTGCTGTAGATTTTTTAATGCAGTGATATGTGAGTAATCAATATGTAAGCCTGTTTTTGCCTCATAGTCAAAAAATAAAAAGACCAAATAGCTTGCAAATGCAAATCTTACAATTGCGACTTTATTTCTTATAACTGTTTTATTTCAATTGCAACTTGATATTACACAATTGCTACTTTATTTCTTGTAACTTGTTCTTTCAGTCGACTTTTTCTCATAATTGCAACTTTTTATCTCACAGTTACGACTTTGTTTCACAATGTGACTATATATTTCTCAATTTCTATTTTCTTTAAATTACATTTTTCGCAATTTTTTTATTTTTATTTCTTGCAATTGACTTTATTTTTTTTTACTACTTATTTTTACTATTTCTCATCATTTTGACTTTACATTACACAACTGTGACCAGTGTTGGGGTAACAAGTTACGTAATCAGATTAGTTTTTTGAAATAACTAGTAATGTGTAACGCATTACAAGTAACACAAGGTATGTAATCAGATTACTTTTTCAACAAACTAGTAAAGTAATGCATTACTTTTAAATTTACAACAAAATATCTGAGTTACCTTTTAACGCAAGTTAATTTGTTTTCCCATTTATTCACTGACAGCTCTCATGTCCCCGTCTTGAGAGAAATTGGGAGTGAGGTGCTGAGGAAGAGGCACTTCCTTCAACCTGAGGCTTATTAATTTCACTTTTAGTGTGAACGGGCTTTTACAGTTTCCTTTTTTTGTTGTTGTTGTTGTTGTTATTATTAAAAAACAAATAAGCAAGCCCAGCCCAAGTGACAAAAAGTAATGAAAAAGTAACATAATGCATTACTTGTAATGCAATATTGTAATTCATTACTTTAAAAAAATTAACTTTCCCCTACACTGACTGTGACTTAGTCTCACAATGTGACTATATTTCACTAGTGTAACACTATTTTTTTGGTTTAACATATATAAAACTCACAATTGTAATTTTATATCACACAATTGTTACTTTATTTATTGAAATAAAATTTTTTTTTTTTTTGCAATTGCATCTTTATTTCTTGCAGTTGACTTTATTTTTATTATTAAATATTTTTATACTCATAATTGTGACTTCTCACAATGTGACTTTATTTCTCCCTTTCAACATTATCTCACAACATCCTTTTTTATTTTTTACTCTGAAGCAGAAGCAGAATAGACCTCTAGCATGACATAGAGTGAGGGCCTATATATAGGGAAGAAAGGAAAGTGCTAGCTAATAATAGTTAAGTGTCTTAACATAGTATGCACCTTTTTTCTCTGTCTATGAGACTTTCATATCCATGTCTTTATTATGATTTTTTGCTTAGAAAGGCTTTGCTCTTTTCCGACAGCTTCCTATGGCACCTTCTGAGTCGTAGGTGGAAGTGTGCGGTAAATCCTTTCCCTGGACTCACTATACAGTCGTTGCTTTTTATGTGCATTTAAAAGGAAAACTTGGAATAGATAGCAAACTCAAAATGCTAAAAAAAAAAAAAGTGATCTGCATGAAGTGACCAATAAGTTTACAGGGATTTATCAATATCACTGAAAGCGCTACAAACCTAGCATGATTTCCACAGCGGTGGCAGTGTGCTGGTTGTGTGTGAAGAATTAGGTCAGTGTGACCATAAAGGTTCATGTCTTTATTGCCACTGTGACTTTCCCCTGAGAATATTGCCAGCCATGCACTTTAGAGCATTAGTTAAACCCCCGGACAAGGCCAAACTAAATGTAGGTGGTGTCACAACTGTGCTGACAACATAGTCTTTTCCATCGGTTTTCAGTAAGAGCAAACAGAACATTTATTCTCTTAAAGCCACCTTACTTCAAATGAGCATAAGATATTAAAAGCATTTTACAGCCCAATTCATTGCCTTCACATTGTAATAAGTACAAAATGTATCCCTCTGGATTTAGAAGGACCTAGTTAGCTGTTTAAACTAAAATTAAGCGAAGCTATATTAGAAACAGTTCCAAAATTATGTTCAAACTGCACATGGAGTGAATTAAACCTAATTCTGATGAGTTCATATGGCTCAGGGAACAATGAAACTAAGTTTAAATCTCAAAATCAAAAGATATGTCCAAGAGCTGACATTTAGCAAGCCTATTGTGATCTCCACATTTACGGTTCTCGTTCAGGATTCCTTCAGGCCTTGAACACGTTTAATAAGGCTTCTTCCTTTACTAACAAAATAAATTCAACACATTTCTAAGTCTTTTTAAAGACTACTAAGGATGCTGTGGAGGCAAATCCTCCCTGGATTTCTTCATTCCTCCCAGTCAGGCAACTTCTAACGGAGCAGAGCATAAGAAACATACATACCAGTATTGTGGTAATGAGCAGCCTTTCACTAGAGTGATTTTTGGTTGTTCGTGTGTTACTGTTGTCAGTTTATTTCTTGTAGTGTAGATGTTGCTGTCCAAGCCAAGGCTTGACAAGGATAGTGGTCCAGAAACGAGGGAACCATTTAAGAGTTCTTAAACAGGAAGTTCAAGTGCTGAAGCTTAACAGTTGTTCTACTGTGGAAGGCAGAGCGCGACTCATTATCCAACTGTCTACCGAGAGCGTTGTTGGGGAATTATTGGCACTGGCATATCATTAACAAGGATGCTCCAGTGCAGTGCACTGCTGAAAGACACATTTATAAGGGCCTTCAGTCTTGCAACAGCTGAATTCATTCTGCCTCTGCATGTACATGTAGAGTTCAGCAGTTGTCTCAGATATTTACCTGCGAGTTTCTTAGGAATTATCTTACTGATACATTTCTGTGCAGTTGTGGTCTTAGCAGCGGTCTCAAATTCAAGAGTTTCATCAGTAATCTTTGAAACTGTCTGTAACTTTTTATGTTTCTTTGAAGTATTGGTGCACTATTTTGTAGGTATTTATCAAGGTTTGTTTACCTGATTCTTGTAGTAAAATTTGAATACAAGTTCAGGGTAAGTAAGATTTTTTAAAGTAATAATTTTAGGATTTTTTAAGGATGAATTACATTGATAAAAAGTCACAGTAAAAACTTTACATTTATACAACATATACAGTTTTATTGTATTTTTTGACCAAATAAATGTTTAGTGAGCATAAGATATTTTATTCAAATGCATTAAAAAAATTACTGACCCCAAACTTTTGAACGGTGATGTATTGCTTGAAACCATGGTTGGTTAGACTGAGGCAACTATTACGGACAAGATCACACACACATGCACATATGTGGATTTTGAAGTTTAAAACAAATATTATGACAAAACGAACCAGATTAATATTCAGTACAATGCATTTAGTTCTTTTTGTAACATTTTAAGTTTTTTAGTTTTTTTTTCTGTTGGCAGATATTGTTATGCGCATTTTAAAACACATCTTGAAAATATCAAATGTCACCATCATCAAAGGTGAATAAGAAGCAATAGCACCTTTTGAATTTTGCTCATTTCAATAACAGATTATTTGTCCTTTCATGTAATTATGTTTCACAGATGTTCTGATATGGGACCAGATAGCTACCACGACTCTGAGATTTTTGTGGAGTTGGATAACCTGTTTCAGCTGTTCAAATCAACAAGTTTTGTCAGTATTAATGCAAATAGAATCTTACCAACCCAAGCAAACAGCGGAGAACAGAGACTGTGTGAGTTTCAGGCAGACAGTGCACAGTCTGCTGGGAGTACTAACAATAAAAGGTCAGTCCCAATGGCCCATCAAGATGGCGGAATTAAGTCTGTGACCATACAGTGTACAATGTTACCAGGATATTTCAGGGTTTTAGTCATTAACTCAACCACTGTAAGCAGAAATAAGCAGGTAATATTTAATTTGGAACTAATAATGCTTATAGTTCACATCAAGTTCCGGTAGAGAAATATAAGACAAAAAAGAAAGAGCCCAGAGACAGAGACAAAAAAGAAAGAGCCCAAAGAGCCCAGTCACTGCAGCCCCAATTAAATTAATGTCAATTTCAAGAGTATTAGAATAGGATCTGGTTTGCTACCGTCATAACAAGATGCATATCTGGTTGTGAAACACTATGTTTTAACTTGTTGAATAATATTGTAAGGGTTGTTGTGAGATTGACTGATTTACCTTTGTCTAGAATATTATCCTGACATTTTATTCTGAAACAAGACAGGAAATCATTAACCTTCCATTTTATTAGGAAAACAAAAACAGGACTACAGAGTAGAATATGAAGACAAGATCTGTTTCACCCAATCTTAATAACAGACATAGAAAGTGAAGGCAAGTAAAATAAATAGCTTGCATAAGCCATATTGATCCACACCAAACCTAGGTACCAAAACATAAAAACCCAGTATAGCAGCTAAGAATAAATTTTTCCTTTTATAAATTCTTCCTGATTCATAAATTACAAATTAGAAAGTAATGGACAGTGTAACTCAAATGATAGGGATTTGGGATTACAAATGTTTGGTTTGTAACTATGGATTACTTTAAGGTTTACCCATTCTGGTAACACTTTATTTTAAGGTATCTTAACTAGTTGCTTATTAGCATGCATATTACTAGAATATTAGCCATTTATTAGTACTAATTAAGCACATATTAATGCCTTATTCTACATGACCTTATTCTACATCCCTAATCCTACCCAATACCTAAACTTAACAACTACCTTACTAACTATTAATAAGCAGCAAATTAGGAATTTATTGAGGGAAAAGTCATAGTTAATAATGAATATGTGTTCCCTATTCTAAAGTGTTACCAACATTCTTTATAAACCATGAAAATGCATAGATGTATTAAAATATATGATTTATAATCTTATCAAAAAACAAAAATATAAAATTATATAGTATTTTGTTCATGTATTTTAAAATATGTTTTAAAAAAAGTACAGTTTCTTTATGTTATGCAGTTAGAAAGTGTTAGCTAAATTTGTGCAGTGAGACAGTGAAGACGGAATGTACCAGTAGCTGGGTAAGGGATAAAAACAATGACAGCAGTTGAAATGATTTTCAAAATGTAAACATCAGGCTTAGTCAGCTAAGTTCATATAAGATTCCATATTGTGTCTGCTAGGCCCAGTTAAATGTCAGGTATAGATTTAATTATGTCAGGATTGCTGAACATATTGCTTTGTAAGCCTAATAATAGCAAATAACAACAGATTGCTCTTTTTACGGTTGTAGCTGCATTGCTTCATTTCCCCCCCACATCTGTTATCCCCAGACCTGCAAACAAAAATTTGATTGTGAGCTGTATATTACCAGACACGGAATGTATTATTTATAATAATTATCATGTTACCATCACAACCCATCTTTTTTGCAAAATTCCAGAATGGTTTTTGCAGTGGAATCTCTATTGAATTTATTGACTCATAAACTTGTACATAATAATGAGTTAAGACATGATGCTATTTGAAGCCATCTGAGAATATTATGCTACCTACTAAATTTTACTTTTTATTTCAGCTTTTGTCTCTGTATAAAGTTTTTGTATTTCATCATCCCCTTACAAAGTCACCAACCCGGGCTCATTGAAAAAAACATGCCTGTGGCGTCATTTCTACAAAATGATATTATGTTGCTTGTCGCACGTTTCATGACACATTTAAAATGAAATGCCCAGTGAATGGCTCTAAAAGCATGTTATTATACGCATCACGACAGTTCAGAAAGGAAATGCCCGATGAGTGGCACTAAAAGGTTAATTATCTATCGTGCTTGAAACTAATGTGCCACCTACACTAAACCTAACCGACAGTATTAACAAAAGCAAATGTGAGATACAAACCATTTGCTGAAGCAACTATTAGACTTTAGCTTCCTTCTACAAGTCTTTGAGCTCTTATATTTAGGGATGTAACACCGCGACCTGTTTGAAAATGGATACAAATATGTGACGATTCAAATCGGTTGAGATGTTAAACAAATCGCGATACAGCTGGGAGTAGGAGTTTATATGAATGTATCTCTGAGGGGAACTGTCTGTCTTTGTAAAAGTTTATATATTTTCTTTTCATCTTGACTCTGTATAATCAAAGACTATAGAATACCCAAGACGTGTCACTCATATAGCTTTGAATGGGGAAAAATGCAACGCTCAATATGGCCGCTCTATTGAACGGAGCCCCGCCTACTGAGTCAGCTTGTCACTGCAGCTGCCGTTAGAAGTCCCGTTTGCTATAGAAATAGTCAGCGTTCTGAGACGTGCGCTCAGGACTGCGCATGCGCACTAGCTGGTATAGCCTGAAAAAGATGCTTTTTTATGGCTATTTGAGCAAAAGAAACAACATTTATGAGACTGTTGTTGTCGTCAGATTTCATTGGTGATTTCAAATATGAAATTTAATCTTCAGCTTGGCGAACGGTTTTGGAGAATTTGATGTTTCCCCATTCAAAGAGTTAGGAGCTGCACTTGCATGCCCGTGAAGCGTTACAGAGATGGCCTCTGAGTGACATGACTTGCCTTAAAGGGATCCTATTGTGCTCTTTTACAAAGTATTGATTTTGTTTTGGGGGTGTACTAGAACAGGCTCTCATACTAGGTTGTTCGAAAAACACATTATTTTTCACATATTTTACATTATTACAACACTTCTCTCCCCAGTCTGGCATGAACGGCTCGAATAGTTCCTGTATCAAATGAAGGCCCGCCTTCTGAAATACGAAATGTGCTGTGATTGGTTAGCTGGGCCAGTGTGTGTTGTGATTGGCACCACTCGGCGCCTGGTCGGGAAATGTCATGCCCCTTACCATAGCCACCTGCGAGCTTCAGTGTAAATATTGCGTCAATATCAAATAAATTTGAGCGCGATTTAAACCTGGATGATTAACCACTCTAACACAGTGTTTACACTGGACACGACAGTTGTCGTGTCGCGCCGCAACAGCTAAAGTCTGTCTACACTATGAGGTTATTTTAATTATCCCGTTTCATATTTCAATGTAGCGAATCAGCTCAAAGGGGGAATATGCATAATTAATCATAACTAGTTATAATTAATTATAAATATTTAGATCCGCTGTAAGTATTTAAATTAGTGAGTTTCTCTACCCGCATTCCTTTGGGCAATAAAACCAGTGATATCAGCATTGGTTGCCATGGAATCAGAGGCCCGTTCTGCCTTTCTAAGGTGTTAAGACGCATTTCGGGGGACGGGTCCATAGGCACTCATATGGCTTGTTAACTGAGGGGTGTTATATTCAATTCAATTAAATTCAAGTTTATTTGTATAGCGCTTTTCACGATACAAATCGTTGCAATGCAACTTTACAACAAATTAAGTTTCTACACTATTTAGTGGTAGCTTATCAGTGGTGACTGTCAGTTAATGTACATATGGCAGAAATGTACGGAAAAATCAATTAAAGACGTAATCAAACAGACGATGAACACTATTAACAGCAATTATTATATGATGCAATCAAACTTATAGCAAAATGTGGTAGTTCTGTATGTTGTTTCAGGGTTGGCATCATCTGAGCTCCTCTGAGGGGTTGGCATCATCTCTTCTCAGGTGTTCTGGATCCAAACTGAAGCTTGTGTAGATCCTATAGTACCACAGGATGTCAATCCCGTGGCAAAAACAGAGAAACAAATAGAGACATAATTAGCGTAGCTGCTGTTCCAACCAAGCAAAATGGATTTGTTTAACCCAAACTAAAGAATAATAATAATGTGCAACAGTGAGTGAGACAAAAATAATATACTCTGGTATCAAAACTCCATCTTTATCTAAATATAAAATGATAAGATATCATTTTATAAAACTATAAAATTTAAAATAAAAAGCAGCATTTTGAAGACTATTTATGTTCTATTTAATGTGGTAATAGCAAATCATTTTTATGGTATTTTGTGAATAAACAATGGCAAAACAAAAAACATCTGCCGTTATATTAAATAATGGAATGCTAATTTGAAAACAATGAATTGAATAAATTATATATCTTCCATTCTGTGCCATAGCCAATCAAGGATTACTTGAAAGGATTGTTCACCAAAAAATTACTGTCATCTACTCACCACATACTTTTTTCATACACTATCATATATGTTATAATTTTATTTATTTTTTAAATTGTCAAAACTTTGAACATGTAGTACATGTCAGTAGATAACATGTTATGAATATTTTTTGTTAGTTTAAAATTCGGCCATCATTTTTTTATGTTTTTATTTCACAGTTTATGCAAACAAAAAGTGCATAGTGCTGCTAATTTTTATTGGCTTTTGTCATAAAACTTGGTAAAATGATTTCAGTGAGTGTATCAGTACTTTTTTAAATATTTCCAGCACATTTTAACAATGCCGTGTATAACAGTTTGGATTGATACAGGACATTATTTAAGAGATTTAAGTTTGGTGTAATATGGGTAACTCTCAGCCGCTTTCATTTTTAAAAAGTAGCTCCTGAATGAAATAAGGTTGGAGACCCCTATAATGCATAAAGCAGCATTCATAAGCACTGCGCTGCTTTGTTTACAGCGGTAAACAAGGAAATGCTGTATAGCTGCTGTTCCATGAGCACCACCTGCTGTCAGAGAGTGAATCTGCGTCTCATTCAGCCCTTCTGCAGTTTTTGTCCCGTTCAGATGTTTTATGTATAATATTTGCACACAGTTAAAGTCAGAACATTCTGTTTTAGCTTCAAAATTTCGAAATTATACAATCTAATCTAGATTAAAAACTGTTCATGCAGCATGCATGCAGCATCTTTGTTTGGATCATGATTAAAAAGCAGGTCATATTTTTCAGGCTATACCAGCTAGTGCGCATGCACAGTCCTGAGCGCACGTCTCGGAACGTTGACTGTTTCTATAGCAATCGGGACTTCTAACGGCAGCTGCAGTGACACGCTGACTTTACCGATTAGCGATTGGCTCTTTTACTCAGTAGGCGGGGCTTCGTTCAATAGAGCGGCCATATTGAGTGTTGCATTTTTCCCCATTCAAAGCTATATGAGTGACACGTCTTGGGTATTCTATAGTCTTTGATTATACAGAGTCAAGATGAAAAGAAAATATATAAACTTTTACAAAGACAGACAGTTCCCCTCAGAGATACATTCATATAAACTCCTACTCCCAGCTGTATCGCGATTTGTTTAACATCTCAACCGATTTGAATCGTCACATATTTGTATCCATTTTCAACCGGGTCGCGGTGTTACATCCCTAAATATAAGAGCTCAAAGACTTGTAAAAGCAAGCTAAAATCTAATAGTTGCTTCAGCAAATGTTTTTTATCTCACATTTGTATTTGTTAAATAGGTTTAGTGTAGGTGGCATATTAGTTTCAAGCATGATAGATAATTAACCTTTTAGTGCCACTCATCAGGCATTTCCTTTCTGAACTGGCGTGATGCGTATAATAACACGCTTTTAGAGCCATTCACTGGACATTTTATTTGAAATGTGTCATGAAATGTTCAACAAGCCTAACTGCCTTAACGAGTCATCATATTTTCGAATCTTCTGCCTGCTACCTATATACGTCACAAGGTAACACATTTGCATAATCCCCACCTGCCCGCGAAATATGAACACTCTGACCTGCCCACAAACACTTCCACTAGTTAGTGTGTTTACATTATGTCGAACACAGTTCCCACACGTGCACCTCAAATAAGTAAATACTAATAATGAATGCAATAAAACTGCTGTCACATCACGTAAAGTACCACATACAAAGTTTAAACTTACCGCTGAGAAACGTCCTGATGAAGTCGAGCGTGCGATGGAGTTTCTGGTTGAGCGACTGCATCAGTATCATCCTCTGATTCGGGCTTGATTTGATTAGGTAATATCGATGCCATTTTTGTAAACTTATAGCATCTTTGTTTACAAGTAACCCTCCGGAGCAGAAAATTAATAATGAAAATGGGCGTTTTGTTTCCGACACGCATTGTATACGGAAAGACCAATCACAACAGACTTGGCCAGCTGACCAATCAGAGCAGACTAGGCCTATGGAAGGGAGGGGTTTACAGACCTCATGCTCAGAACGGCTTCGAACGAATCGTTTCGAAATCATTGAAATTATTCTAATATTATAAGTATATTCTGAGAAAATTACAATGTTTTCTGACCTTAGATGCATTTAAACCTGTTGTAGGGGACATCAACACAATATTAGGACACTTTAAGATAGTGTCCTAATATTAATACAGTAATAGTAATTATTAATACTGTATATTAATACAAAATACAGTGGTTGCCTCTAACTGAATGAAAAGAGCACAGGCAAAGCCTTAGTTTGTTTATATAAAGAGATTTCTTTTATTTGTTATTTATTTATTTGATTTGGAATTTGTTTTAAAAATTAAATTTAGTTTTGTTATTTGACATATTTCAAATTCACAAATAAATGTTCAGCATTTTGTCCAAGCAATAATAAAAGGACATCTTTTAATTTATAATTTTAACAAAAATCTAATTTTGTTAAAAAACTAATCGTGAGAAAATCGTATTGTGAATCGTATCGCATCATAAGTTGAGTGAATTGTTACATCCCCATTTATATTGGTATTTATGTTTCACAGGACTCTTATCCGATTGCTCTGCATTGCAAGTTCAACACTGTACCAGGTGAGCTACCGAGCAAGTTCACCAAGTCAGAAAAGTCATACATATGGAGCTGGTTATGTGATATAAACATCAAAATTTATTATTTTACAAACAAGTGATTTGATCATAACATTTTTGTGTGTTTCCTTGCTCAATACTATACCCTAAGTTAATATTCAGCCTTACTTGCACTAGTGTTCATTTCAATTGGAAACTGCAGTGAATTGCATTTATAGGGTATGTTTTTGGAGTTAAAAAAAATGTAAGTAGAGGCATGAACCTACATTGAAAGTCACAGTAAGTATTCTCCACTTGCTGTCAACAGCGTTGAGGTCACTCTCAAGTGTGCTCACTTGTCCTGTAGTCAAGCCAAGCTTACTAAGGTCAACTGCAGTGCCTGTGGCTGTGGTGGGAACTGCAGCCTGGATCAGTGCATGTAAGAAGAGCAGAAAACAGTGAGAGATGGACAGGTACTTGCACACTTGCTTGCAGAGTAATCGTTAAGTGAGGAGCTGAGTGTAATGTTATGTGTGATGCTGAGTAGGCAGCCCCTTTAATTACACACTCTCCTGAGCATGTCATTCCCATTCCCCAAGCACAGGCCATTCTGCCCTTTATAGAGAGCACCTCCTGTACCTCTCCCTGTCCTCACCTCAACCTCTGAGGCACATTGAAATGCAAACGCACACACATGCGCAGTGATAGACAGTGGATACACACGCACACATAACTATGCAGACATCTCACACATTGCCCTTTATGAGGACAGATTATATTAACTCCTTACCTGCTAAAATTGAGCTTCTGTCTGAAAACTGACAGATCCACCAGCGCTTTTATTAAAGGATGTGTCTACGGCGCCTCTCTCAGGATTAATCTATAAAACAGAACACAGCTGGATTAAAAGGTCTTTGTGAGCAAAGAGAAATATGGGGGATAATATGAGTGCAAAGGCAGAAGTATTACAAAACTTCAAACCACTCAGCTGTTTGGATCCATTACATATAGGTCTCAGGAATACTTGATTATGATAGGTCAATCGTGGCATCCAGCAATTAGATATTTACTAACATTCGCTGTCATCCATGGCAACATATTAAACCACTCAGTCGGTAACTGAAATTGGGATAATTTCTCTATCACGTCTCTCATATCACACCGCAAACTCCCTCTCGTTTCATGCAAAATGGCATCTTGCGTCTTAGTTACTGACTGTAGTAAAATTTACCAATGAGCACCAGTATATATATATATATATATATATATATGTATATGTAGCCGGGTAAGGTATAGCCCAGGTATGATTGGCTGATGTCATGCCAGCCTGTGAACCTATCAGTGTCCCTACTCCTTTTGGTTAACTTGGTTTGTATGGGTTCTTTTTTTTTTTTTTTTATTCATTCATGAGCAACCATTCATTAACTTGTGAGTTAGCAGGGAGACGAGCAAGATATTTGGCCTTGGTCGGCCATTTTGTTCCTCCTGTTGGTGCAGACGACTGCTCATTTTTATTTTTTTTTTGTAGTAGTAGTTGTTGTCGAAGCGTTTGTTGACTCCTTCTTTGTGTAGATTGTTCTGTGGTGGTATAAAAGTGAGTTTTGTATTTTTGAATGTGTCTTTGATGTTTGTACCAGTTAACCATGTTGTCATTCATTTGTAGAACCTTTTAAAGCGGGGGTTGCAGTCTTTTAGCGTGTCCACATGGCGTGTGGTGCTTAACCAATTGTATTGCTTTCACAACTGTGTGGTGTGAGGTGAAAATCCAAAAGGCCCCCGCTGGCCATTTCTCTCCTACTGGTAATTTCTGTAACTGGTAGATTTGTGTATCTGA